GTGTTGGCCTTGACTTGTTGGGCCCGTTTCCTATGTCCACCTCCGGGAATATTTGGGTAGCAGTCGCAACAGATTACGCCACACGCTTTTCCATCACTCAAGCACTGCCAAGCTCTTCCAATGACGACGCTGACTTTGTCTTGTATGAAGTCATTCTTAATCACGGGCGCTCCGCGACAGCTGCTTACTGATCGAGGGAGGTACTTTCTTTCACGTGTTGTGGAAGACATTCTCCACGGCTGCTCCACTGAGCACAAGCTTACCACCGCTTATCATCATCATCATCATCATCATTATCAGCCTGATTACGTCCACTGCAGGACAAAGTCCTCTCCCATGTTCCGCCAGTTAATCCGATCCTGTGCTTGCTGCTGCCAATTTATGCCCGCAAACTTCTTAATCTCATCTGCCCACCTAACCTTCTGTCTCCCCCTAAGCCGCTTGCCTTCTCTGGAAATCCAGTTAGTTACCCTTAACGACCAGCATTCATCCTGTCTACGCGCTACATGCCCGGCCCATGTCCATTTCTTCTTCTTGATTTCAGCTATGATATCTTTAACCCCCGTTTGTTCCCTAATCCACTCTGCTTTCTTCTTGTCTCTTAAGGTTACATCTACCCTTTTTCTTTCCATTGCTCGCTGCGTCGTCCTCAATTTAAGCTGAACCCTCTTTGTAAGTCTCCAGGTTTCTGCTCCGTAGCTAAGTACCGGCAAGATACAGCTGTTATATACCTTCCTCTTGAGGGATAGTGGCAATCTACCTGTCATAATTTGAGAGTGCTTGCCAAATGTGCTCCACCCCATTCTTGTTCTTCTAGTTACTTCATTCTCGTGGTTCGGCGCTGCGGTTGTTATCTGCACAAAATAGACAGTCTTTTACAACTTGAAGTGTACTATTACCTATCTCGAAGCACTGCTCTTTTCTGAGATTGTTGTACATTACTTTCGTTTTCTGCAGATTAATTTTAAGACCCACCTTTCTGCTCTCCTTGTCTAACTCTGTAATAATGAATTGCAATTCGACCCATGAGTTACTCAGCAATGCAATGTCATCGGTGAAGCGCAGGTTACTTAGGTACTCTCCATTAACTCTTATCCCTAACTGTTCCCATTCTAGGCTTCTGAAAACCTCCTGTAAGCACGCGGTAAATAGCATTGGGGAGATTGTGTCCCCCTGCCTTACACCCTTCTTGATTGGTATTCTGTTGCTTTCTTTATGAAGCACTATGGTAGCAGTTGATCCCCCGTAGATTTCTTCCAGAATGTTCATATATACTTCATCTACGCCCTGATTCCGCAGTGTCTGCATGACGGCTGATATTTCTACTGAATCAAACGCCTTCTTGTAATCTATGAAGGCTATGTATAGTATTTGGTTATATTCTGAGCATTTCTATATTACCTGATTGATAGTATGAATGTGGTCGATTGTTGAGTAGCCTGTTCGAAATCCTGCTTGTTGCTTTGGTTGATTAAATTCTAATGTTTTCTTTACTCTGTTAGCAATTACCTTTCTAAATAGCTTGTATCCTACAGAGAGCAAGCTGATCGGCCTGTAATTCTTCAAGTCCTTGTCATCTCCTTTCTCATGTATTAAGATGATGTTAGCGTTCTTCCAAGACGCTGATACTCTTCCCGCAGAAGACACTTCGTAAACAGGGTGGCTAGTTTTTTTAACACAATCTGTCCTCCATCTTTCAGCAGATCTGATGTTACCTGATCCTCACCAGCAGCTTTGCCTCTTTGCATGCTTTCCAAAGCTTTTCTAACTTCTTTTATCATTACTGGTGGGGTGTCATCTGGGTTTCTGCTAGTTCTTATAGTATTAAGATCGTGGCTGTCCCGGCTACTGTACAGATCTTTGTAAAACTCCTCCGCTATTTTAACTATTCTATCCATATTGGTAGTTATTTTGCCTTTGTTTCTTAGTGCATACATCTGATTTTTGCCTACCCAGTTTCTTCTTCACTGCTTTGACGCTTCCTCTGTTTTTCAGAGCGTGTTCGATTCTCTCCATTTTATACCTTCTCACATTGCATATCTTACGCCTATTAATCAACTTCGAAAGCTCTGTCAGTTCTATTTTGTCTGTTGTACTTGAGACTTTCATGATTTGATGCTTCTTAATGAGATTCTTCGTTTCCTGGGAAAGCTTGCCAGTGTCCTGTCTAACTACCCTGCCTCCAACTTCCACTGCACACTCCTTAATGATACTCATCAGATTATCATTCATTGTATCTACGCTAAGGTTGGTTTCTTCACTAAGAGCCGAGTACCTGTTCTGCAGCGACACTCTGAATTCCTGTACTTTCCCTCTCAGTGATAGCTCATTGATTGGCTTCTTGCGTATCAGTTTCTGTCGTTTCTTCTTCTCTAGGCTTCTCAAGTCTAGGCGAATTCGAGACCGGACCATTCTATGGTCACTGCATCGTACCTTGCCAACTGCTTCCACATACTGCACGATGCCTGGGTGTGCGCTCATTATAAAGTCTATTTCGTTCTTTTATTTTCGCCATTAGGGCTTCTCCATGTCCAATTGCGGTTTTCTCGTTTTCGGTAGAACCACCGCTTATCATCCGCAGACAAACGGATTGACCAAGAGTCTGAACCGAACGCTGACGCAGATGCTTTCAATGTGCGTCTCACCAGATCACGGTGACTGGGCAAAGCACTCCTCTTTGTCACATTTGTGTACAACTCTTCACGGCTCGACACAGCTAGTTATTCGTCGTTTTATTTACTATTTGGCTGACATCCAGCGCTACCATTTGACCACTCCTTCCTTCGGCTGCCCCCTTGTCTACTGAGTACGCCAGCGTTGTTGTTTCTGGAGCCCATGCAGCCCGTCAGCTTGCCCATGATCGGCTGCACTTGTCGCAAGAGCACCAAAAAGACCGTTATGACTGTCGCCACCAAAGTGTGCACTTCCTGCTGGGGTCTCTGGTACTTCTCTCGACACCAAACCGCTAAGTCGGCTTATCAGAGAAGCTACTACCACACTACCATGGCCCCTACAAAGTTTTACAACTCAGTGACGTGAACTACGAGATCACACCCCTAAACAATGCCTCTTCGACCCCCTCACTCCAGACGGAAGTTGTGCATGTTTCCAAACTCAAACCGTATAACCCTGGTAGTTCGTCGCCGCCGTACCAAGCGCCGTGACGGCACTTACACTGCGGGGGAGTGATGTTACGGTACACCATCGACAAGAGCTAGCATAGTACTTTGCGATGAGGACGAAGACGCCTGTGCATTAGACGGTTGCGCGAGAGGCAACTCAGCCATCCTGTTCGGCTGCTGATTCTCTGTGGACGCTATACGATAAACCTAGGTCTCGCCCGTCGCAATATCAGCATTGAAATTTGATTAATCAGTATATCAAATTATGTAGGATTTTTTTCTAAAATGTGAGTGTCCCTTATATCAAGACACCTTACAACTTTTCCACTAAGCAGCCACCTTCAAGTAGTTAAATTTATAAAATAATTAATAAACCATTAGTTCAATAGGCATCTGAATGTAACTTCAGGAGTGGCAAAGTATTTCCTTCTCGAGTTCGTCAGTGACGATAACAAGACCCTGACCCTCTTGGTATCCTTACTTAAAGCATTTGTATCGCTTAAAAAAAAAAGCAGTCTGCACAGTTAAACCCTTTCATAAAAGAAAAATTGATACAAAAGACACCAGCGTGCCTGCACTGAAATAAGGGTTCATAAAAAAAATTTATATGGGGTACCCTGCTTATAAGAGACGCCTCATTTAAGGAACAAAAATTGCTGCCCAGTGCATGTCTCTTTAAAGAGTTCAACTGTATATATACAGGCTCATAAAAGCTTTTCAGCACAAGCATTTCATGTCTATTCTTTGTCTCTTAAAGGAGTATTGACACGAACTTTGAAAATTTTCGGATTTCTGCTGTAAATAAAAGCACTGGTATCGAGGACCCAGGAAAGGGTATTCTGGTGCCTCGAAATGCATTGAATATATTTTAACATCATTTTTTCTAAGCCCACTTTGGTTTCGATTTCGAAGGAGCGACTTCACATTGACGTATCAAGTCAGGCTTCGTAGGGACTGAGACATTCACAGAAAATCGTGACATACCAATGCAGCTCTATTGTCTGCTGGAAAGGGACGCTTGCGTTGGGGCTCCGATGCTCGAGTTGCATCGTGATGTTGTGCAAAAGCAGCGTAGAGCATGAGCACAGCTTCTGGCTCCAGATATCACTTGTTGGCAGCGCGATGCTGAACTCAAGAAGGTACCGATGGTTCTTGATCCGGTAGTAGTCGGGGCTGAAATGCAGCCAACAAATCCGGCTGCGCTTGGCTGGCGTCCAGTCGCAGCTGCGATCACGACACACACAATCTACCCACACTTGTCTCACCGCTGGGTTGTTCGGGAAACTGTGCATACTAACGTTGCCCCTGGTCTTGGAATCACAGCCTTTGACGGCACAAGGAGTGGGTGGCATCGTGAAACAGGGATGCGGCGATCGTAAAAACAGTGATCGTAAAAACAGTGCGAGTGAAATCACTCTTGCATCCTTTCGCATACAACAAATGTGTCTCGGCGCTCGATCACTGTCGATGTAACCACGAAGCGTCGCAGCGAAATGGACAGCGCAGAGCACAACTATGAACGACGCCGGTCGGCGGCGCACCGCTGGACAGGCAGTCGAGAAGGTGCGCCGGTTGCGTTTTGTGCCATTTCATTTTTGGCCTTACCCCAACGCTTGCGCATTTACATGACTTCACAATTTTCTCCTGACGGTAGAGCTGCCTTGCAGGACGTGGGAGATGAAAACTTCAAAATTCGATTAAAATGTTTTATTCGTGTTTCCCGGTTTCGGTGTGGGGAGAGCGTTAACACTACATTGCAAGAAAACGAAAAACGTCCGTTTTGCCGCACCTCAAAATCGTGTCAGTACTCCTTTATAGTAAACCTGGGTTGAATATTTTCAGCTTTTTTTTTCTTTAGCTAGTTGTTGATATGCACAGTCTGTAAATTACATTCAGAGCGTACAAGACGGCGAGCCCTGATTCTGGTAGCCAAGGCATATTCCTCTATTTCCCTTGATGATGCCTCCCGCTTTCTGGGCATTCCCAAGCTTGAATTAGCTGATGGTAAGAAGGGTCAGTACGTTCATCAAAGTTCATCATTGCACTTATATGTTTTTTTGCCTTCTTTCCGCAGTTGTGAGTTCATTGGGATGGTCCATTGATGCTACAAATGGCATGGTTTTGCCAACATACACTGGTAAGCATTCATGGTGTGCTGTACATGAAAAAGCATCACTTAGAGCTTCCTTTTCTCTCCATCTCTGTTCTTTTGTTGTTTTTTCTTCATATTTGAGCTTGCTAGTGTCACTACTCAAGAGAAATTTAAAAAAAAAAGCCATTTGCCAAATGGCTCTTTAATCTTTATCAAAAGAATGACCATCCTGGCAAATTAACAATGTGCAAGATGCATGGACAAGAATAGAAGGGACTTGATAACGAGCATGCCCCGGTCTAGTGGCTAAGATACTTGGCTGCTGACCCGCAGGTCGCGGGATCGAATCCCGGCTGCAGCGGCTGCATTTTCGATGGATGCGGAAATGTTGTAGGCCCGTGTACTCAGATTTCGGTGCACGTTAAAGAACCCCAGGTGGTCAAAATTCAGGGAGCCCTCCACTATGCTATCTCTCATAATCTTATGGTGGTTTTGGGATGTTAAACCCCACTTATCAATCAATTATTAACGAGCATGCTCACTGCCCCCCTTTTTAATATTGGGAATGACATTGAAATATATAGAGCCCCACTGACACGTTTTTCACTGACCGTAAAGAAATAAAACACTATAGGTAAGAAAAGATGAGTCACAGTCGATAACAATTTACTAAAAAGTGTTTCTAAATTATAAAACAAATGCACGGTGCTTCCTCAGAAGTATTTGTTCATCATTTAGGCTTTAGCAAGTTTTTCATGGAAGTCAGCTTTTTTTCTTTTTTTCATCTCTGTCAGAAACAGACCCTTTTTGAGCATGTGGATGGCCTTGTGGCAATCCACATTGCCAATCTCAGTGATGTCCAGTCCTGGTAATTAGTTTGCATTAGAAATACGTGAATTAGTGGCCTGGGAACTTATGACCTCCCCCCCCCCCCCCCCCCTTGCCTGTACCTCAGCATGTCCAGCATATCAGCAGTTTGCAACATATAAGGCAAAAACATTGTGAGAATAGTATTCTGATATGCAGGTGTCTTTTAATGCTTTGCTCATGGTTTTTTGATACCAGATACAAGAAGCATGATATGCAGAAAAACTTGAGTGAGAAACATGAAATCGGGGCTCTACTGCTTTCGTAAAGAGATGTTACTTCACTGTGCAGCAAATAATGTGTCTAAACAGTACCTTCCATGTAACAAATATCCGGGTCTATGAATGTAAAAATTCAAAGCTCATCATATGCAGATTTGCAGTGCATGTACCTAATATTTTACATAAGTGACTACATTTTGGCTGTGGGAGTGGACAGCATTACATGCCATTTATGATATTGGGCAGCAGCCACCATATTAGAGGACCTTTGATTATTTAAATCAAAGGCATGCCTCATGTCCATTTTGTGGTTTTGGCATGTAAATCCATACAATTGACTTTATTATACCAGCCACAGTGAAAGTGCATAGCGAAACGACAGTACTTTAATAATGAATGGTCAAGCTGCAAGTAATGAAAGTACAACTGTAAATGCATGCTGGACCGGTGATACCATTAGCATTGTGTTTGTATAGGCCACATGTTTTCTTTTTAGTAGCTCTAACGTATGACTGTGTATCTACAAACTGGAGTGTACCCATAATTATGATTTCTAACTGCTATTTTTTTACCTCTCTTTTCCTTCCAGCGGTCAGACATGAAGATTCAATGCCGAGTGAAGAACAGTTGGCTAAACTCACAGACTTTGTAGCCTTCCTAGAAAATTGAGTTTTGCTGCAGATTCGCGGTCCACTTTACACGAGTTTATATTACGTCAATTGAAACTTGTAGCTTTTTCACATAATAAATCACTGCTGCACATTTGCCACTCTCTGACTACAAGGTTGGTTGGTAGGGTTGATTGAGTTAGTCATTGATATGTTGGTTATAACGCTTCAAAACCTCCACATGTATATAAGAAACGCTTGCATACAGGTTTAAGAAAGTTGAAGGGAAAATTGTAGCCTTCCTAGAAAATTGAGCGTTGTTGCAAATTCGCAACCCACTGCATACTTGGGACATTAAATCCCACGTATCAGTCAATCGACCCACTGCATATAGGTTTACAAAAGTTGAAGCAAAATTGTAGCCTTCCGCGAAAATTTAGCGTTTCTTCAGATTCACTACCCACTGCATAGGCACCGCACACTCGCCAGAGGGAGCTGTGTTGCTCACACTGCCCCTCTAGTGCTAATGGCCGACAACAAGGAAGATTTGCGGAGATCGGTGGACATCTTCGGTAATGAGTGAGATAGGTTAGATATCAGATTCAGTAAGGAGAAATCAACAGTCATAATTTTTAATGACAATGAAGGTAGTGAGCTTAGAATACAGGAGGTCACGCTAGAGAAAACAGATAAATACAAATATCTGGGCGTATGGATAAGCAATGGGACCGAGTACCTAAGGGAACACAAAATATGCGTGACGACTAAAGGTAACGGGAATGCAGCAGTGATGAAAAATAGCGCACTGTGGAATTTGAATAGGTATGATGTTGTGAGAGGAATATGGAAAGGGGTCATGGTTCCTGGTCTGACGTTCGGCGATGCGATCTTGTGCATGAGATCAGAAGTTCAAGCAAGATTAGAAATTAAGCAACGTGGAATAGGTGGGCTTGCCTTAGGAGCTCACGCGAATACACTAAATCAGGGAGTACAAGGTGATATGGGATGGACATCATTTGAGGGCAGGAAATCTAGCAGCAAGATAAAATTTGAGAAGCGATTGAGAAAAATGGGGGAGGGAGGAGCGTTGGGCTAGGAAGGTATTCAGCTACTTGTACATGAAGAATGTCGATACAAAATGGAGGAAGCGAACCAGAAAATTGACTAGTAAATACTGGGAAAACAGCAGAGGGCCAAACCAAAAAGAATTATCGGTTAAGAAGAAGGTGAAGGAAGCTGAGATCGATATGTGGAGAATCGGCATGATTAAGAAGTCTGCACTAGAGATCTATCGAACCTTTAAACAGGAAATTGCCGAGGAAAGGATCTATGATAATACTCGGGGTAGTTCTCTACTGTTTGAGGCCAGGACGGGAGTATTGCGAACCAAGACATATCGGGCCAAATACGAAGGGGTAGACACGGTATGCAGTGTGTGTGGAAAGGAGGAGGAAACTGCCGAACACTTGATAATGTTCTGTAAAGGTCTTCACCCTATAGTTCAGGTTGATGGCGCAGAGTTTTTCAAAGCACTGGGGTTTAAGGACAGGGAGGGCAAAATAGACTTTAAGTGGGTAGAATTAACTAGAAGGAGGTTATCTGATTGGTGGCTAAAGTCATGGCATGAGTGAAAATTAAACCCTTCACTGCAAAGTACGAATCCTCAACCCCAATATTTAAGGAAAAAAAATAAATACAGTTTTTAGTTCATTGAGTATTACGGCTTGGTGGCGCTAGCCACCGCTTGATCTAAAGGGTACACCCATATCCATCCATCCATCCATCCATGCCCCAGTCTCAGAGTTTCTGACATTCGCCGTTAGGGGCATGCAGAAAAGTGACGTGTGCTCAGGTCTCCAATGTATCCTGGGCACAATCCGCTGACAGATGCAGGGTGCTAGACACGCGCGTCTCCTTCCAATTTCGTCGATGCTGTCTCAAGGTCTTTTTTTATCCGCTAGACTATGTATTCTGGTGCTGCAGTCAGACTGGAAAACTTTACTGAACGGTGCCTATACAGGTTTATGAAAGTTGAAGGGAAAATTTTAGCCTGCCTAGAAAATTGAGCGTTGCTGCAGATTTGCAACCCACGGTATCGTCATCATCGTCAGCCTGACTACGTCCACTGCAGGACAAAGGCCTCTCCCATGTTCCGCCAGTTAACCCGGTCCTGTGCTTGCTGCTGCCAATTTATACCCGCAAACTTCTTAATCTCATCTGCCCACCTAATCTTCTGTCTCCCCCTAACCCGCTTCCCTTCTCTGGGAGTCCAGTTTGTTACCCTTAATGACCAGCGGTTATCCTGTCTACACGCTACATGCCCGGCCCATGTCCATTTCTTCTTCTTTATTTCAACTATCATATCCTTAACCCCCGTTTGTCCCCTAATCCACTCTGCTCTCTTCTTGTCTCTTAAGGCTACACCTACCATTTTTCTTTCCATTGCTCACAGCGTCGTCCTCAATTTAAGCTGAACCCTCTTTGTAAGTCTTCAGGTTTCTGCTCCGTAGCCAAGTACCATAGCTAAGGATGTGGAAGTGGTTGGCAAGGTATGATGCAGTGACTATAGAATGGTATGGTTTCGAATTCGCCTAGACTTTAAGAAGGAACGACAGAAACTGATACGCAAGAAGCCAGCCAATGAGCTAGCACTGAGAGGGAAAATACAGGAATTCAGAGTGTCGCTTCAGAACAGGTACTCGGCTCTTAGTGAGGAAACCAACCTTAGCGTAGATACAATGAATGATAATATGATGAGTATTATTACGGAGTGTGCAGTGGAAGTTGGAGGCAGGGTAGTTAGACAGGACACTGGCAAGCTTTCCCAAAAAACGAAGAATCTAATTAAGAAGCGTCAAATCATGAAAGTCTCAAGTACAACAGACAAAATAGAACTGACAGAGCTTTCGAAGTTGATTAATAGGCGTAAGGTATGCAATGTAAGAAGGTAAAAGATGGAGAGAATCGAACACGCTCTGAAAAACGGAGGAAGCGTCAAAGCAGTGAAGAAACTGGGGTAGGCAAAAATTGGATGTATGCATTAAGAAACAAAGAAGGCAAAATAACAACCAATATGGATAGAATTGTTAAAATAGCGGAGTAGTTTTACAAAAGATTTATACAATAGGGGAGACAACCACGACCCTAATACTATAAGAACTAGCAGTAACAAAAGATGACACCCCACCAGTAATGATAGAAGTCAGAAAAGCTTTGGAGAGCATGCAAAGAGGCTAAGCTGCTGGTGAGGATCGGGTAACATCAGATCTGCTGAAAGATAGAGGACAGATTGTGTTAGAAAAACTAGCCACCCTGTTTACGAGGTGTCTCATGACGGGAGAGTACCAGAGTCTTGGAAGAACACTAACAACATCTTAATACATAATAAAGGAGATGACAAGGACTTGAAGAATTACAGGCCGATCAGCTTGCTCTCTGAAGTATACAAGCTATTTACAAAGGTAATTGCTAACAGAGTAAAGAAAACATTAGAATTCAATCAACCAAAGGAACAAGCAGGATTTCGAACAGGCTACTCAACAATTGACCACATTCATACTGTCAATCAGGTAATAGAGAAATGCTCAGAATATAACCAACCATTTTACATAGCCTTCATACATTACGAGAAGGCGTTCGATTCAGTAGAAATATCAGCCGTCATGCAGACACTGCGGAATCAGGGCGTAGATGAAGTATATATAAACATTCTGGAAGAAATGTACTGGGGATCAACTGCTTCCTAAAGAAAGCAACAGAATACCAATCAAGAAGGGTGTAAGGCAGGGGGACACAATCTCCCTAATGCAATTCATCGCGTACTTACAGGAGGTTTTCAGAAGCCTAGAATGGGAACAGTTAGGGATAAGAGTTAATGGAGAGTACCTTAGTAACCTGCGCGTCACCGATGACATTGCATTGCTGAGTAACTCGGGGGACGAATTGCAACTCATGATTACGGAGTTAGACAAGGAGAGCAGAAGGGCGGGTCTTAAAATTCATGTGCAGAAAACTAAAGTAATGTACAACAACCTCGGAAAAGAGCAGCGCTTCGAGAAAGGTAATAGTGTACTTCTAGTTGTAAAAGACTATGTCTGCTTACGGCAGGTAATAACCGCGAAGCTGAACCACGAGATTGAAGTAACTAGAAGAATAAGAATGGGGTGGAGCACATTCGGCGAGCACTCTCAAATTATGACAGGTAGATTGTTTTTTTTGTTTTTGTTTCCCTGTGCAAATGGCTCGTACCCAAAGAAGGGCATTGGCCGATTATAAGGTGAATTTGCCCTAAACTTTCAGCATTGCGTCATTCCTACAAATTTTTTTGTAACTTAATTTTGATTTGAAATACCGATATCAAGTTTGCAGAAAAAAAAAAGAAAAATAGTGAGACAGCAATTTAGCAAGAAAATCGTTTAGTCGCAGTGATGTATTCTTGAACGGCGAATAAAACATCCCTGTGGCTGAAACCCAGTGTAGAGGCTCCAAATAAAAGAAGATCAGATTGTGATAGTTGCAAGCCCAGTCTTTGAAGAGGTGGTGCTAGTATGCTTTGCCTGAATAAATCGAAACGGCGACAATGTAATAAAAAATGACTGATCGTTTCCTCTTGATTACAGTAAATGCACATAGGGGAATTCAATATGCCTGATCTATGCAAGTAAAAATTTAGGGAGGTAACACGGCAACGAAATTTCGTGACGACAACTTCCATCATCCTTGAATTAGTCTGTTCACTACGCCAGGGAAATAACAAGTGTTTGTACTCTGGAGAAGCCGTCAGTGCAGGGTCAGATAAATTTTGCCCGATTTTAAGTGTGCGAAATCGCGCCACCGTAATGTATACTGTATGAGGGAAAATAGGAATAATTGGTGTCGAAAGGGATGCCTTCGCAAGAGAATCAGCTATTTCGTTTAACAACAAACCTTTGTGCCCTGGTGTCCAGAATTAATGAATACTTTGGAGATGACAGGGGATCAACGATTTAAAAAGTTTCAATATAGATGAGTGACCAGATGCGGACAGAGAAGAGCACACTGATAATGAATCAGTTATGACTGCTACGACTGGAATGGAAATATTTACCTTTCGCAAAGCTAACATTATTGCCATGAATTCAGCCAGAAAGACAGGAAGAAAATCCGGTAAGCGAAGTGAAAA